TGAGAGCATGCTAAGTGCCGGGTATAGCGCTCAGGGCCACACGCAAAAAAGAATTCAGTTGCACTAGAAGCTGGGGGAGGGGGGCATAAAAGTGAAACGATGATACATACAGCCCCCCCAAGGGCTCGGTCCCCAACAGCTGTGAACAGGACTGGCTAGAGCCTTTAACTCCCCAGCTGCGCGCATCGGGACAGCGCGGCTCTATGGGTGGCGTCTCCGGGCCTAATGTCAGCCGAGCTCTCTCAAGCCCAACACGTGGCTCACGCCGCCTAGAAAGACCCAGCTTCACGCAGCGTCACTCAGTCCCGCCCACGGGATTATCTCTAGGGGCTTACCAGGGGCTCACAGGAAGTCCGTCACAGAAGCAGAGTCGAGCTGTCGGCGTGAGGAGGGGAGAAGGCATCCCTCTGGCTTATTTCGCTTCGCCCCTTGAGGCCACGCGTGTGCATACCTGTGGTCGCAGCCTGACTCCCCTCCGGAGCCCGTGGAACGCAACCCCTCCGTGGTGACTCGACATCACTCCCCGAGGCTCCAAGCCCGAGGGATAGTGTCTGTGAGAGCTGGTGGCCCTGCTTCAACAAATGCTCCCAGAATGCTGCTTTTCAACAAAACCCCAGAATGTTGGCTTCTTCATTTTTAAAATCTCTTATTAGCCTGTTAGTCACTGCTTTTCCTGCTCTTAGTGTTAAACTTTTACTGCTTCTAATCTGTTCTGGCTGTGACATTAGAAAACGAAGCATTAGCCATTCCCCAAAGTAAGATCAGCCCTGACTGGTTTGGCTCAGTGGATAGAGTGTCGGCCTGCAGCCTCAAGGGTCCCAGGTTCGATTCCGGTCTAGGCCATGTACCTTGGTTGCGGGCACATCCCCAGTAGGGGGTGTGCAGGAGGCAGCTGATCGATGTTTCTCTCTCATTGATGTTTCTAACTCTCTATTCCTCTCCCTTCCTCTCTGTAAAAAATCAATAAAAATAAATAAATAAATAATTAGTCAAAACAAAACAAAAAACAAAAACAAAAGTAAGATCAGGCCCTGGATGAGAACTGAGTCTCACTCTCTGCTCCCCGATCTTGACAGGGACAGAAATCTGTGGGCTCTCACGAGCAAACCGCCCCCCCCCAGCCCCTCCCCCGCCTTCCCCAAGGGAAGCAGGCCAGCGCCCCCTACCTGCCGTGCAGGGTAAGGCAGGCTCATGATGAAATGCTCCAAGTTTCTCAAGACAACCCTTTGAGCTACGGCATAAGCAAAGCCCTTCAAGTAAGAGGATGCCGGCCTGGGCCTGTCCCCGGCGGCCAGGCGGCCAGCGGTGCGTGGGGCTGGGGCCGCAGCTGCGCGGTATGAAGAGGCACCAGTGGGACTATCTTGCCAACTGACTGACACCCACTCAGCTGCGCGGACAGGGCGGGCTAGACGGGAAAATGCCATATCCCCATGTGTCCCGGGGGAGGCCTGTCCGGTGGCACCTTCTCGTCAAGGCTTTTAATACCAAATCCCTTGGTCACCAGTTTAGCAGGTGAGGTCTATGCAAAGCGACCCCTTTGACTTTTTTTTTTTTTTTTTTAAACAGAGTATAATTGGTTTATCAGTCTTCTTTAAAACTCGGAACTCAGGCTCACTGAAATTTGGTAACCGCTAACTATATCTCAAGAGGCACACTTTCAAAAAATTTAAAGTTAGAATTAACAAATGGAATTTTTCAGGCCATAAAAGCAGAAAAATATTTAAAACCCTCTATTTTTTTTTCCTGTAAAAGAAAATGAACAGCATAGGTCTCCTCCAATTTCCAGCCTCCCCTCCCCCCATCCCCCACTCCACGTGAGACGGGCGGGTTCCGTCCTGCGGGATGGGCTGTGGCAGAGGCTGGTGCCAGATTCCCAGGAGAGCAAGGTGTCACTCTGAAGCCATTAAATTACTAAGCTCAAAGGTGGAAGCCCCACGGGAATTCTGACTCATCATAAAGAGTATTTAAGGCCTTGGCAATACATCTTAGCACTCATTCAAAGAAAAATAATGAAGTTGCCTCACTGTTGGCCTGGCTGCAAACCCGGCGATTATCAGAAGGAGCCATAAACTTCTGCTAACAGATAGTCTCCCCAGCGGCCTGCCAGCAGCGCTGCCTCCGCCCGCGTCCTCGGCGCTTTCTCAGAAGCTGCTGGGCTGTAGGAACAGCTCGTTACGGCAGCTCTCTGCTGCCAGAAACAGGAACACATCCTGCCAAGCACCCCAGTCTCAGCCACGCAGCCCGGTCGGAAACGCGAGCCCTCCTCCTCTCACCTGCCGCCCGGCCTGGGCACGTTCGTGACCACCCTGGACTCCCAGTGTGCCTTGCAGAGGTGACTTGGGCTGTTTCCCTCAGAATAAAATAAGGTCCCGACAGACAGAGCCCAGCAGAGGCCTGGAGCTGGGCCTCCATGCAAAACAGACGCGAGGGGACGAAGGAAAGGGAAGCTCGCAGACACGGAACCTGCGGTGTCCGTTGTTCTCAGGTTGAAAGTGTCCTCTTAGCTCCGAGGCGTAACAGCCCACGTGCGCCTGATGCACCCACGGCCGCGCCGGTTTCATTTCCGTGGGACCTGGGGCGAGGGGAGGACTGAGCGTAGGACTTCAAGGAGCGGACGGAGCAACGCAGCTCCCGGAGGAACCAGAGCGCTCATGTCTGTGCCCTCCTCCAACACCGCAACGCGAACCTAATTTGGGGACCAAAATACCCGAGAACCTTTATGCCAGGGTTAGGGGTGAGGTCCGAATGGTGCAGGCGCACAAGGCCTGTCTCAAGAGCAACACGGCTGCTGCTGCTGCCCGTGCAAGACTATGGTTTTGGGGTGAATATTTGGGAGCAGAGTGCAAATCGATCGGCTCCTTAAACTCGGCAGCCCTTAGGGAAAGACGCCTCAAAATAACTGTTGGCAGAAATCACACATTTTTCACAAACCAAGGAAGACAGAGGGAGGAAAATTCCACGGAGAATCAAGAACTCCTGAGCATTCAGGGACGCGAACCCGGGCTCACGTCACATGTCTACACTTCACCTCCCGGCGCTGGATCCGGTTCCGCTGTGGGCTCGGGGCTTTTCCTAAGTGCTTCTCCGGAGAATCCGTTTCCACCGCATCTCCCCCTCTGGTTCTAGGCTGAGCAACCCCACTGACAGCACACGGCTTCCCTTCCCTTACAGAGGGAGCCGGCACGAGCCTTCCTGCTGGTCTCTCAGCAGGGCCCACTGACGGAGGCCACTCCCAGGGCCAGAGGAGTTTTTACAAAAACAGCTGCCTGTGTCAGCAGAGGGAGTGAGACCCAGCAGGCATTTCTATCTTTGCCTTAGGGATTAGCAGATTCCCGGGGCGGGCGGCCTTGCTCTCCGGGGCAGGTGGGGAGTCGGCCCATCCAGGGCTGCAGTGAGGCTCTGAAGGTCCTGACAACAGCGAGGTGCCCCAGGGCTTCAGGTTCCCGCTGCAACTGTGGGTCCCAAATGCCAGCTCAGCTCGGGAATGTGTGCGGCCCTCCCCCTTGTGCAGCCCATGCAGCTACCTTTGTCTTAAAATGACGCTTTACAGAACGCTGCGCCAGCTCGGACGCAGCCGCTTCTTATCGCACGTCCTGTGCGCAGACACGCTGTGCGGAGGAAGCATGGCCAGCGCCGACGCCAGGGCGCAGAGCACACGCGCCCAGAGGCCACAGAAAGCGTCATCGCAGGCTGTGGCCGCGTCCTCCCGTGCGGCTGGTATCTGGGAAGACACCATCACAAACTGGCAAGGCTTGTAACTATGGCTCCATGTGAATTTGCTTTTGGAGAAGTGGTAAAGGAGAAATTTTACCAAATATAGTACAGCCTTATCTATAAATAAGTGCAGGAAAGGAAAACATGTTTGGGATGCCTGAGTCAGCACATTTGCATGCCTTATTTTTGTTTGGGGTCTGATTATATCCCTTGACCACGCCAGGGTTCTCCAGAGCTTCTGTGTGTTTCCTCCTCTCCCCGGCAATGCCCACGGGGAAAGATCAGCACCGGATAAAGATTAGTGACTTACGTGTTCAAAACACCCACATGTTTGAGCACAAGTGCGGATTTCTGGCAACTGTTTGAAGAGTAGTTTGTATCATGTTTTTGTTATAGAATTCCTAAAGAGAAATCTCAACACTAAAATGCCAAATCATACATGAGTGATGCTTTCAAAGAAATATTTTGAATACTATTTTCTCTGCTTTTAAAAATCAGTGATGTTTGGAGCCAATACTCCAAGAGTGGCTTTAACTCAAAGATAGAAATGACTTTGTTCAACATTTTATATTTTCGCTTCCTTTGTTCCATGTGGGGAGCCGCACGGCCATGGCATACTCAGCCCCAGGGCGCCTTATGTGCCATGCCAGCTCAGCCTGGTTCAGTGACCCTGAGGGGGTGGGGGTGGGGGGTGTAGTGAAAGGATGGAGAAAAGACAGACAAGAGAATGAAAGCTGGGTCTCGGTGGGATGCTGCTCCCTGATGAGACAGCGCCAGCGCCAGCGCCCACAAGCCATGTCTTTTATAGCAGATGCCACGAGGCACAGTAGGGGCGTGATGTTTACAGCATTCTCGTGAGTTCCAACCCCACTCAACTACATGCACCTGAGCTCTAGCACAAGGCACGTGGGGCCACGTGTTCGGACCACAGGTTCAAGCTCACAGCTATAGCCGTTGGCTATGATGGTGCTGGGAGGGCCCTGCCCTCCAGCTGGGACTTGCCCGTGGCAGTGAGAGGACCCTGTCCTTTCATTAGTCCAAGGCTTGAACCTGGCCAAAACACCGTAACCGCGCCCCACAGTGGACAAGACAGTGTGTTGACATCTAAGGTCCATAACAGATGGCGCGCGAAACACGAGAAAACCCGTGAGCGGTAGGCAATGTGTTAACACCCGGCAGCGGAAAAGACAACCACCCTTGCGAAGCCAGTATTACACTCCCGGTAAGGGATAGCAGTACACAAAAGCCGGAGTACATGGTTTAGGGCAGGCAATAAACAATGTACATTTTCAGGAGCAAATCGCCAATATTTATTTTAAAAACCCTACACATCTTACTATAATACAAGCATGAGTGAAAGTTAGGTGGTTTGGGAAACAATATATTCTCTACTGTTAAATGCACCACATGCTGGACTTCGGTTCTGCTTCTGCATCGGCCGTTTCCTGTGTATTTCCGTTCCTGGTGCCAGTGCCTCTGATTTACCTGGAATCATCAAAGGAGGGAGGGGTGGGGGGGATCCTTTAAGAAGCTGATCAACTTTGGGTCCCACATTGGAAACTACCAAACATCAATCCCCGACGGGTCACTGAGGGGCACTTCTGAGTAAGGTCGTGTGTGGGAGGCCCCCTGCCAGGGAGGCGCCATGGCTCCCCTTTAAGTCATGTCCACTGAACCCAAGGCGTGGGCACAGCCTTACCTTGGGGCATTTCTGACCAAAAGGTGAGAATGCCTTCAGCTCAACTCTTCAAAGCCGAGGTGCCCTGGAATGGGTTTTTATTATGTAAATCCAGTCAAGCACCAGGAATACCTCCCTTGAGTTTTGGTGAAACCTCCTGCTATTTTGGGGAACTGGGGCTATAAAATAAACACGCTGCTTCGGGGCTGGGTCTCTCCGCCAGAAGAGAACAGAAGTCACCCAGACCAGCTCCTCCCTCTATTTCTGTGTCTGTCTTTTCATTTCTCTAATCCCCAAAGCGCCTCCTACTTAAAAGAACCGGTTCTCGCTCTTTCTCTGCTCCCCCACCCCGACCCGTGCTGGATGCGGAGAAGGGAGCCCCCCGACATAGTCTTGAGTTTATTTTCACTTTATCAGGCTCAAGTTTCACACTGAAGGAAGAGCTGGAAGGTTCCCTTGCTGACAGCACCTGTACTTACTTTCTGAATTCGGGCACCTCCAAAGCATAAACAGGTCACCCCCAGACACAACTTTTTAAAAACCAGTCCTTTGTAGCAGTACTTAGTGTCCAACAGAAGCCACTCCGTCTGTTAAACAATATCTCGACTGCAAAGCTTCTCTCACTGTTGGTGGATAGATGATGACACGGACAGTCACCATCGCCGTGGCAACAGTGCCCGGGACTATCAGAGGAACATTGCACATGGCCGGCTGGCGCTCGAGCAGCCATGCCTCAGCTTCCTCCGGGGTTTGCTTTTCCTGCAAGTCTGGTGTGCCCTCGGGTACCGCCAACCCAGCGCGGCTCCAAGACTGCAGACCACGCGGCGACCTGCCCTCCGCGACTCCCACCCGCAGGAGCGCAGACTCAAACCGCGGGCCCGGGCGCGAAATCCGCCCCCATCTAATGCCACGGAGGCCGGAGGAGGCGACGGGCCCTCCTTCCTGTACTCCGCACCCCCACGTGGCCGCGCACCTGCGTCTCACAGCCCCGCTCGCTCCGCGCCGCGCACGCACCTGCTCACAAAACGTTAGTCCAACGAGCCAGTTCCCGTCTCCGTTGCCCATTCAACGGGGAGGAAGGTCAGCGAACCCCAAACCCCGGTGGGGTCATCAGACGAGAGCGCTTTACAAACTTCTAAAATAAAAGGGTTTTCTTTTTTTTCTTTAGAGAAATAAACGAGAGCCAGAGGCCGGAGCCAGCGGGCCGGGTCTGGACCTGCCCCCCCACGTGGGCGGCGGGGCCAGGAGAGCTGGGACGTGTGGCCAGGCCCGATGACGCAACCCCGGGCAGGCCTGTCCGCCAGTGCCCGGCCCGGCTTCCGCCAAGAACGGCCGCATTCGGTCGCGGCCTTAGGGAGGCACCGGAGCCGCTCACCAAGGCTGGGAAAGGTGCACTAGGCCTCCTCCAGCCCAGTTACCGCCTGCCACGGAGGAACCCGCCAGCCGCGTTGCCGTAGCAACTCAACCACTACTTGAACCGGAACCGGAACCTTCCTCTGGCAGTGACCCCTTCCCGGCGTTCCGCAGGGCGGCGAAACCCCGCCCCGAGCCTTTCCCAGTCTTCCGGCCCATCCCAGCAGGCCCCTCGACCCTCCCGGGTCGCCTCTCTCTGCCGCGGAGCGTGATCCTGATGGACATCCACTCTCTCCAATCAGCTGGCAAAGCGGCTGCCGAGGGCCAATGAGAAGGCTGTAGGATGCGGCTCAGGCGTAAGGACCACCTTCACCCTGTCGGGGCGGGGCGAGTGACGGGATTGGAAGACTCGAGTAGTTATAAGCCAGCCTTCTCCAATCACGGAGCGCTGCTCGGCGCCGGCTCAATGAGGGCCCTCGGGGGGCGGGCCGGGCCTCGGCGGGGCGGGGCAAGGCTCCGGGTGGCGAGCCGAGGTCCCCGGCATAGAGCGTTCCGGCGGGCGTGCGGGATGAGTGGGTCCCTGGGCCGGGCGGCGGCGGCTCTGCTCCGCTGGGGGCGCGGCGCGGGCGGCGGCGGGCTGCGGGGCCCGGGCGTGCGGGCGGCGGGCTCCGACGGCGGCGGCGGCTCGGCGGAGCGGCTGGACGCGATGGTGAAGAAGGACAAGGTGGTGGTCTTCCTCAAGGGCACGCCGGAGCAGCCCCAGTGCGGCTTCAGCAACGCGGTGGTGCAGATCCTGCGGCTGCACGGCGTCAGCGACTACGCGGCCTACAACGTGCTGGACGACCCCCAGCTCCGGCAAGGTCAGGGCCGCGGGGCGCGGGGTGGGGGGTCGGTCGGGGGTGGGAGCGGGGTTAGGGCGCGGGGTCCTGTTGCCTTAGGGCCTGGGTGGGGCCGGGAGTGACTTGAACCCGGTGAGGATCTGGGCTCGGGCACTGTTGCCACCTTGGGCGGCGGGGAGAGTCCCCGCGGCTCACGATCCTCACGCGGAGCTGAAATCGGCGTTTCGGGGCGAGTTCTCAGGCTGCGCCCCAGGAGAGTGGTCAGCGGCCGGACCCCGGCTCTGCAGGCGGGGCGGTGGGAGGGGGTGGGGGAGGGAGAGAGTAAGCGCCTGGGAGCTGGGCACTGTGTGTGTGTGTGGGGGGGGGGGGGGGTCCTTGGAGGACGCCGGCCTGTCGGGTGGGTGGAGAAGGAGCTGGGCGGTGGGCGGTGGGGCCGAAGTCGCTGTCCTGGGCAGTGGGGTCCGCCCGAGGCTGGGCTCTCGGGCTTCCAGGCTCAGGGTATCAGGGACCATCCTGTGTTGTTGCCTCCGCGTTTGGGCTGGTGTGGGAGAAAGGGCATGCCGTCGGGGCAGGGAGGGTGTGGGGGCCAGGGCTTGGGAGGCAGCAGTAACAAGCAGTGACCCAGCGCACTCCAGAAGTCCGATAAGGCGGCGTCCGTGTGTGTGCGTGTGTGTGTGTGTGTGTGTGTGTGTGTGCGTGCGCGTGCGCCCTCCGCGGGAGATGAGAGTGTAAGATAGTTCCCTCACTTTGGGGCAATGACTGTCAGCACCTAGTCGAGTTGAGGGTGCACACTGCTGCGGGCCGGCCCTTCACTCCCGAGTCTATAGCCTCTATTCCTCTGAAAAGGGCCTGAGAGTAAACACATTCGTCTTCATGGACTGTGCGGTCTCTGTGGCAGCCATTCAGCTCGCTGTTGCAGCGTGAAAGCAGTCAGGAGAATGCATACATGAATAAGCATGGCCAAGCTCCAGTAAAACTTTATTTACAAGAACAGGAAGTGGACCAGGTTTGGCCCAAAGGTGTAGAGCAGAGGCCGACCGTTCCAGCCTGCCCTTTAAAGCTGCAAAATCATTGTCCCTGGCCCTGGGGGAGCTTAATCCATCTTCATACTAAGTCTGAGGCGTAGAGTTATTCCCATGTTATAGGTCAGGAAACGGGCTAAGAGAGCAGCAGGTTTAGGTGAGGCCGCGGGTCCACGCTGGCAGGCCGCAGGCTGCTGACCCGCAGGCCGATGGCTGCTGTTCGCTCTGCCCCGCACTTCGCTTCCCCTCCATCGAGGGTCTCCGCTACCCCTGGCGCCCTTCCCGAGGTCAGGGAAGCTGGAGAAATAGGTGACAGGACTTGTCCAAGTCCCAGAGCCAAGGAAGTGGCAGCGTGGGAATTACCTGCATCGGACTCCGAAGCTCCCTTAGTGAAACCTACAGGAAAAGAGGGCTGGTTATGGTCCCTTAACACTTACTGCCAAACCAGGAACGAAGGTCCTGAAATGTGATGGATTTGAAAAGTCCCTTTCGAAAGCTCTGGAAGGGAGTCATCCAGTGCATGTGGGTCCGTCCCCCCCCCCTACCCCCCGGGCTTGGTGCTTGGAGTGTTAACTTTGGGGGAGCAGTCGGTGTATATGAGACAGCTTCCTAACGCCCGATTCCTAATGTTACCCGGTTACGTTGCTTTGCCGTCGACACTTTCTGTCCCACATCGAATCACTGTCAACTGTTTATAAAATGTGATTGTCATTACAATCCATTCTTGGGTATAATTGTTGAGTTTTCAAGAGTTTAGCTTTGATTCTGAGTATTCCAAGTGGTGTTTGTAAGCACTATTGCTGTAAATTGCAGTTTTTGAAAATTGAGGTGTGAGAGAACGTAGCCACCTTTAAACAGTTCACTGTGCCCGATGGGACTGTAGCTCTCAGTTGGTGGGCAATGGCCTTTATCATTGGACGTCTCACTTCACTGCAGCAGCCGCGGCCGCAAGAACTGTTAAAACATGCAGCCCTGACTGTGTAGTCAGGGGCACTGACCTCTGCTCCCTTAGATGTCAGATAAAAAATGACAACAACCTGAAACCTTCATTTCGTGTTGACCAGTGTCATCCTAATAAATTTAATTTTAAAAAAAGTAAATAAAAAAATGACAACAGCCAATACAATAGCCATTTGGTGTGAATGAATCAAGTTTATACCATTTTTTTGTTAGATGGGCAAAAAATGTAAAATACCTTTTGGTGTGCCGCAGAATTGTAGTCATTAGTTTACGTGTGCATGAGATGAAAAAGGTTGGAAATTGCTGCTCTATAGGAATCGGGTAGTCCTTAAATATTTACACTTGTAATCGGACTTTTTATGTTTTTTAAGGAAGATGCCAAAGCTTTCAGCTGCCCATCACACTCGTTAATCTAAACACTAAAGCAGCAGGAAAGGTGGGTTATGATGAACTGTCAGCCAGTGGGCACCGTGGCTGCTCCCACAGGGTTTGCAAGGAGTCAGTTCCCTCGCCCCTGGCTCCGTGCCGGGTGCTCAGGGGGTTGGAAAGCCCGCTTGTTTGGTGGTCTGGGCGGTGGGATGGGTCCTGGTGGCGCAGCCTTCTCTTCCCTTACAGTCGGGACCTGTGGTCGGCAACATAATGTCTAATGAATGCGACAGGCCTAGTGCTTTGGTCCTCGTGGTTCTCAAACATGCTCCATGGAACCAAAACCTGCCTGTTCCTCAGCAGTGTGTCTTCTGGGTTAGATGTGTGGTTTGGGGGACCCGCAGACGGCCAGTTTATTTTCATTTTTGGTGTGTTTCAAAAACTGTAGGCACTCACCTAAAGAACCAATAGATATGTATTATCATGGAAAGCTCAATACAGTGTATTAATAATTTAAAAAACCCAGATATATCACACGCATAAATGGATCACGTACATAAATGTACAAGACATTTAAGAAAGTTTAGAAGAATTAAAAAGAAGTTCATACTTACTTTAAACATGTCTTAATTCCCACACCCACCCTGTCATCATAACAGTAAAAGAAGATTTGTAACTGGCATCGCTGTAAAATAAGGACATTCTGGTCTTCATGGAGTTTGCCCTTTGTCAGTCACCCCATACCTCTTAGCTGAGGTATTCATTTTTTTTTTTGACACCCAGAGTGACTTAGAAGTATGCTTTGCAGTTGCTAAGAGAATAGATCTTAGACGTTCTCATCACATACATACACAAAACACTGTAACTGTGTGTGGTGATAGATGTTAGACTCACTGTGTGACCAGTGTCTGCGAACATCATGTTGTGCATCTGGAACTATGATAACATCACAGGTCAGCTGTGCCCCAGCAAGAAGAGTTCAGGGAAAAAGAGTGTGCTTGGCGGGGCTGTGACGGGGCAGGCATTTCTTCCAGCGCGTCTGGGAGAGAAAGATAAGGCCTCGGCCGCCTGGGCCTCCGCTGTGCTGCCATTTAGGGCGAGTTGCTGTTTTTTAGACGGCAGTGATAGAACTCAAACTGGTCATTTTATTTGGAAAGTAAATGTTTGATAATAAATGATAGGGCATCTAGAACCAGTTCTTGTGTTTTTATTTTGTTTGCAAAATCTGTTGACCTTTCTGCTTTGTTTATTTTGTGCTCATTTTGGCCATTTAAAAATAACTGCCTATCTATGTAAGTATGAAAATATCACATATACTCTGTAGTGATTTTTATGTCATGCTTTTGACCATCCTCTGCTTTAACATAATCAACACAGAAGTTTATTGCCTAGATATGTTTTCAAAAGAATATTTCATCTCAATATCTATACTAATAAAAGGGTAATATGCTAATTAGATGGGACATCTTCTGGACGTCCTTCCGGACAAAGCCATGGTGACCGGGCTGAGGCAGAGGCAGTTAGGGATGATCAGGCCAGCAGGGGAGAGCAGTTAGGGGTGACCAGGCCAGCAGGGGAGAGCAGTTAGGGGCGATCATGCCAGCAGGGGAACAGTTAGGGGCATCAGGCAGGCAGGCAGAGTGGTTAGGGGCAATCAGTCAGGCAGGCAGGTGAGCCGTTAGGAGTCAGGGGTCTTGGATTGCGAGGGGTATGATGTCTGACTGCTGGCAGTTGGACATCCCCCAAGGGGTCCCAGATTGGAGAGGGTGCAGGCCGGGCTGGGGGACTGCCCTCCCAACCCCCGCATGCACAAATTTCATGCACCGGGCCTCTAGTCTATATATAAAGCTTAAGCGACCGAATGGCCAGTTGCAGTGAGGCGCACTGACCACCACGGGGCAGAGACTCAATGCAGGAGCTGCCCCCTGGTGGTCAGTGTGCTCCCACAGCAGGAGCACTGCTCAGCTGACTGACCAGCAACAGACTCCGGGCTCAGGGCTGGCCAGTGCAGCTGCGGTGGTGCGGGCTACCTACCCATGGAGTTGTGGCGAGGCCCTGCCCCACTGCTGCATCCCTTGGGGGATGTCGGACTGCCGGTTTCTGCCCGATCCCCAGGCCGAATAATGGTGAGGATGAACGGGAAAGGAATGGGTTTTTCTGTCTCAGGGTTGAAACCACATTTCCTTCTTACTTTGTCATAACCGTCTCCTTGGGCTCAGAACAGAACGGTCGCTGGCTGCGCTGTCTCCTGGCACGTGCGCTGCAGGTCCCTGTCTCACCGCCAGTGGCCCTCGCCTGGCCCGCCCTCCCTCAGCTCACCCTGTGAGTCTGCGGAGCCCAGCGCCCGCCCGGAGCGAGCGCCCCCCTGGCTGCACAGGACAGGGCTCGCCTGCAGCCATGGGCAAGGGCGTTTCTCTGGGTCAAAGGTTAACAAAGGAAAAGCAGTGCCTAAGGTCTGAGCGGAAGTGGCTGGTGACATTCACTAACCGGACAGGCCCAGGTGGGGCCGGCCTCACTCAGCAATGTCACCACGAGGGCTCCGTGGCCAGCCCTCCTCTTGGGAATGAAGTTGTGGCATTGCTTCTAGGTCGTGGGTATCTTGTGTGACGTCCACAGCCGACCCGGTTCCCTGGTGATAACCCAGCCTGTGCCAGGGGTTTCGTGGGAGCCTCCCTCCTGTCCCATCACAGCTGGAGGGGAGGGGCCCAGCGAGAGGTTCAGCGACCACCTGAGGCCTCACACTTGGTCCTGGGCAGGGTTGGGTTTAAGCGGCGGCCGTTGCTCTCCTCAGCGAGCACTTGTCCCCGAGCTGGGGGGGCGGGGAGGCGCCGGTCTGCCAGGGGCGGGTAGAAGCGTTGCCTGTGGACAGTTCAGCTCTGCCGTTTCCATGACACACTGTGCTTTCCCCACAGGCATTAAAGACTATTCCAACTGGCCCACCATCCCGCAGGTGTTCCTCAACGGCGAGTTTGTGGGGGGCTGTGACATCCTCCTGCAGATGCACCAGAACGGGGACCTGGTGGAGGAACTGAAAAAGCTGGGCATCCGCTCCGCCCTCCTAGACGAAAAGCAAGACCAGGACTCAAAGTGAGGGCCGGCCTCCGCGCAGGGGCCGCCAGGAGCCTCGCCGCGTGCGCTGCTCAGGCGCCGACCCTCCCGCCCTCCGGGAGCAGCGGTGGTTTGTGTGTCTGGTGTGTGGGCTGAGGGTGTGAACTTCATTATAACCACTGCACTGTCATCGCCGGGCGTCGAATTTTCCTGTTGCTGTAAGCAGACTTCTTCTCATAGCCATTTGCTGTTTGCCTGACTCAGGAGGAAGACGACGAGCTTTTGGGTCATGATTCATGAATCCCCTGCCAGTGTGTCCGTCTGCAAAGATAACGTACCCCCCAACGTTTTGTAACGTGCTCTTTAAGAAAAATGATGGGCAAGGGAGAGAACACGATAACCGAGGGGTAGTTTTTCAAAATAAACCGCGAGGGGTACGGCGTGTGAGTGTTCATTCCGAGTAGCGGTGGTCTGGTTTCAGTCTGTTCCTGCTGCAGTAACCACACAGCCCGGGGCTTACAGACCAGACGCCGCTCCCCAGCTCTGCAGGCTGCGCGTCGGGGATCGTGGCTCGGCGGGTCCGGTGTCGGGGGCCTGCTTCTGGCTCCCGGCCCTCCACCCCCTGTGCCCTCTCTAGGAAGCTCCTGGGTCCCTTTATTAGGGCGCTAATCCCACTGTGAGGCTCCCCCTTCATCGCCCAGTCACTGCCCTAAGGCCCCACCTCCTAACACCCACACTTTGGGGGTCAGGCAAAGGCATAGGAATTCCGCAGGGACACACGTTCAATTCAGAGCAGTCGATCAGGGTGTTTAGTTCCTGTGATCTTTTGATTTTAGAAATTAAGTGTGATTTTCACACCCTTCTATTAAATCTTTTAAAAAGGGCTATCATTTTCCAGGGGGAGGACGTTGTGACTGTGGGAAGGCCAGGTGGGGGCTGGGCGGACTGGCCAGAAGCACCTGTGAGGCTGGAGGGGCAGCCCCGCCTGCTCACCAGCCCGGGGCCTGGCAGGTGTCCACAGTGAAACGGGAGAGGCAGGGATGTCCTCCGAAGGCGGGATCTGATGAGCACTTTATTTCCAAAAAAGACGCGTCATGGGAGTCAGAGCAGCGGTCTTCAGTATCTCTAAGGCTCCCAGTGCATCTGCGTCTCTGTACCTGTCCGCCCGCCCCCCCGCCCCCACCCTGCTTCCAGATGCCAGGCTGGGGCCCGGTTGGGGCTGGGGCTGTGGGTGGGGCTGGGGCCAGGGCCAGGCCGGGATAGGGCCTGGGCTGGAGGTGCCTTGCAGTGGGTCCCGGGGGAACCCCACTGTGGCTGGCAGGCCTTCCTCCCCAGAGGCAGAGGAGGGGCGTGGTTTAGCGGAGGGCAAACGTGACGGCCAGGCTGTTCATTTCCCCGCGATCTCCAGGCCTGCTCTGCGGTGGCTGCTGCGTGCCCTTGCAGGCTCTGAACTTGCCCTTGCGGGGACAGACCTGGCGGCCCTCTGCCCTCTGCCCTCTCCGCTCCTGCCGCCATCTCTCCCCCGAGGCTTTGGGGTTCCCAAAGGAAAGGAAAGCAAGTGGCAGCCCCACCCCACTCCTCTGGGGACTGTCCTGTCAGAGTGGAGGACGCCCCCCAGTGATCAGCTCAGCACTTCCGGGGAAGGACAGCAGGTGATTCTCCGGGACGGCTGTCATTCATGCGTGCACTTCGTGTCGGCTGTAGGGGGAGCACTCCCAGGGGCCTCGGGGAGGCGGGGGCTCCCCAGGGAGAGCCGCTGTGTTACAGGTGACGGGGAGGCGGGGGCTCCCCAGGAGAGCCGCTGTGTTACAGGTGACGGGGAGGCGGGGGCTCCCCAGGGAGAGCCGCTGTGTTACAGGTGACGGGGAGGCGGGGGCTCCCCAGGGAGAGCCGCTGTGTTACAGGTGACGGGGAGGTGGGGGCTCCCCAGGGAGAGCCGCTGTGTTACAGGTGACGCCAGGGCACCGGGAGGGAGGCTTGGCGCCCAGGATCTCCCCGGCCACTGCCACTTGGCGCCCAGCCAAGGTCTCGGCCTTGCCCTTTGCACAGAACACCGTCAGCAAGTCACTGGATGCCGTCCCCGCGTGGACGCCAGGCCGCGGCCCCCGGGGCTGCAGATCGTCCCTTTCCTCCACAGCTGGTGCAGTCGGGCCTTTGCCATCATTTTGCGTCCTTTGCCTCTTTCTTAGATCTGCCTTTATGCCCTCGGGTCCATCTGAAAAAGGAAACGGCAAGAACTTACCAGCGGGGGCACGAGAGCATCAGAAACCTCCCTGCACTAAGGACCCGGCGGCTCGGCCAGGGACGGACTGGACTCGAGCCCGTGCGTCGTCGATGGCCCAGTGGCCAGAGAGCTCGGAGCTCAAGGACTCGGCTCTGCGGCTGGGCTTCTCTCCGGGAGTCGATGAATGCTGTCCCGTGTGCCCAACAGTCCCCACCACGCAGAGCACTGGCGTGCTGTCCAGGTCAGGCGAGGGGTTTGAATGGCGTGCACGGTGAGAATTCAGGACACGGAGCAGCAGCCCCGGGGCCGTGTCACACATGGTCTGCTCACACTCAGGGTCTGGGCCCATGGTGACGTATCGGGGCCCTGTCACACCTCCAAGTGCCCTGTTATCAGACCCCTTAGAAATAGAAGTTGCCCTGGCCAGTTTGGTTCAGTGCATAGAGCGTCGGCCTGCAGACTGAAGGGTCCTGGGTTCGATTCTGGCCAAGGGCAGGTACCCCGGTTGCAGGCTCCAGCCCGGCCCCTGGTCGGATTGGGTGCGGGAAGCAGCCAATCAATGTGTCTCTCTCACACCCATGTTTCTCTCTCTCTGCTCTCCCCATCCCTCCCACTCCTAAGAATCAATGAAAAAATATCCTCCAGTGAGAAGTAACAAAAAAAGAAATAGAAGAAGTTATTTTGGGAGCTGAAACATTCGTACGATTCCAGATCGTTTCTGTTCCATAAGCGTTCCTTACGGAAGTTTCATCACACGCCTATAAGCTCCGAGTCGGGAGGTGACCCAGGGCAGAGGTCTGTAAGCAGCCTCGGGTTCATGTCACTGGCCTGTCGCATTCACCCGCGTGCTGTCGGGGACATCGCTGTCCTGTGGTTTTACAGCTGCACAGCTCGCCCGAGGGCATGCTGGTGATTTAGAAACTGGCTACTGAGGGAGAAGTGTGTCCTGTGGGTCGGGCCTGTTACTGTGACAGGAACGACCCGGGTGCGGCAGGGTTTTGCCGAAGGGAGTTTAAACCCGAGGGGAGCGGCAGGGAAAGTGAATTCGGTGCGAGGTCATGGAAATAGCTGACTTGATTTATTAGAAACTTTCATTTTCCACTTGAGGATTGTTTAGTAAATCTCAAAAATGGCCAGAGTGATTCCTAAGAGCTCTGGTAGCACCTGGAGGGGTGGGAGGCTGGTCGTGGGGGAGAGCTGTTCAAGCCCAGGCTGGAGAGCTCAGGGCCCACACAGAGGCCTGGCCTGGGGCCTTGTCCCGGGAGATGTCCTGAGGAGCCCACCACCTCCCCCTCTCCGCCCCCCAGTCACTATAGCAGTTTGGCCTCGGGGGCTGGAGAGTGAGAAGCTGAGTAAACAGCACCCACACAGCTGGCCGCCACCGCAGTGCCTGGACCCCAGGGCTCAGGGCTCCCTGGGTTGGCCGCACGTGGGGGTTGTGTTGTCACACCTTGGCTGGCCCATGGGGGAGGGTTATGCAGCCCCTGCTGGTCTCCAATGGACGCCACCCTGTGCACCTCTTACCTTCCTTTTTGAAAAGGCTGTGGGTTCCTCTGAGGTGGTCTTGGGGACCCCGACATTGGAAGGATCTCCAGGCGGCTGGGCTTTGAGCCCCAACACCCTCCTCTGGGAGGGACCACGTCTAGTTAACTTGCAAACCCACCAGCACCCGGCCAGCCTCATGGCCCAGGGACCCATGGCCCTCTGGACGCCCTCTCGCTCCTTTCGGTCGGGACTGAACATGAAAGACTTTCCCAAGGACACGGAATGACCAGGGAAACAGCACGGAGACGGGTGATGGCGCAGGTGCGCACCTGGACTCGCTAACCACAGAGCCTGCCTTCCCCCGGCCCCGCCCCCGCCCCCGCCCCAGAGCCCACCTGGGTCGACCCTTTGCAGACAGAGACATTGCAAGCCCCTATCCCCGCTCCCTGGAGCCAGTCTCGGAGCTGGGGTTTCCGTCTGGGCTCCAGCCTCCCCTGGCTCTCATGTCCCTGGGCTGGACTCCGACCCCTGTGCCAGGCACAGGGCGCCCTGCGGGGGCGGGGGACTGTGGGGTGGCGCGGGGCAGGCTGCTCCTCTTCCTCATCGTCTGTTTAACCAGCTGTTTATGTTTGAAGACGCCCCTGTGTGGACTGAGGTCGGCAGAGCTGCTCACAGAAACCTGCTCTGAAGCAGGGACTGGGGCTGGGCTCCCCCGAAACTAAGACCCCAACGCAAACCGCTGCGCACCAGACAGCTGTGCCCTTGCTCTTGCACCTGCGTCTGGGGAATTGGCCTGAGTATCAGCTACTGCGGACGGGCCCCCACACTCACCTGGGCCTTTTTGAAAAGTTTTGTTAATTTAAACTTTAAAAAGTTTGCTTAATTTTTTTAAAGTGTTGTACATTAATGGAATACTCAAATATATTAACTATACAGTACAACCATCTTAAATATATTTTGCCGTTAATTTAAAAGCTTACCAATGAGAGCACTGAGGCAGAGAGAAGGGACACCGAGCTAAAAAAATAAATAAATAGTGAGAGAATTGGCATATCAGCCCAGGCAAGCGGCCCTGAGGCCAACCATGACCCTAGCTGCTACCCTATTAATTCAGTTACACATATGGGTTATAGGCCATAACTACTTAGGAGTACCTAAAGCAAGTGTGTGTGTGTGTGTGTGTGTGTGTGTGTGTGTGTGAGAGAGAGAGAGAGAGAGGGGGTATGGACATCCTTTGCCAGAATAACTTCCAAAAGGGCAGAAACCGTGTCTGTCTGAATAGCTGCTCAGTACATATTTATTGCATAATAAACAGCCATCTTTGTTTTGTTTTAAGTGGATAAAGCCCTGGCCTGTTCCTCAATGTAACTCCAAACAGTAAGACGTCAAGTTAGGCTTTTCTGCGTCTTTGTGCTGCTATTTTCCAGTTGCTTTGGTTTTGCTGCCACAGTGTCAGACCACACGCAGCCAGCAGGTGGCGCTGTTGCTCTGGGGCTGAGCACCTCCACGTGAGGGTGCCTCCCCCAGGCTCCCCTCCCGTCACAACCTGAGTGAACCCTCCCTGTGTGTTTGTCACCAGGCAGCACAATCCTATCAGAAATGCCCAGCGTGCTTCAAGTCCATTTCCCCCTTTAACCGGCTAGAACTGGGTGGTTCTGTCCTCTCTGGCTGAGAGCCGTCCAGGGGTCCCGGGTAAGGGGGGTGAGAGAGCTGGGGGGTTCAGGGGTGGGGAGGATGGAGAGGAAGGAATT